AAACATATTATAATTAAAAATATATTAATAATACTACTTGGAAAATCTTAAACACACACTATTATGTTTATAAAGTTAAGTATATATTATACTTAGGTTTAAAAGGACTTGAAGAAAGGTGGGAACAGTGAAAGATTCAATGTGGGAATAGTGGAGATGAAAAAATATAACGTTTAGCGGTAGGAAAGTGGGACAGAAGTAGTTATAAGGGGGGAAAAAGTAAGAAGTGAGGTGAAACAGTAGAAAAAAAAAATATTGTAAGGAAATTTCGAAGATAGAGGGAAAATAAAGGAAATAAAACATAAAGCAGAAAAGTGAGGTTAGGAGCATAAAAAGTTGGGTTAGGTAACGAAAAGGAGGTGCCGATAAAGTAGAAACGGACGAAGAAGCGATCGGGCAAAAAGAGACGAGCTCGTATTTTGCTATAATTTAATGTGCCGCGGGGCTAAAGAAACAAAGTCGTTTTACCGATCGGATGATTGCAATCATTCAGATATCGTCGTACTGGCTACATATTTTGCAATATCTAAATTAAATTGATATTCAGTATTTCTTATTTCTAATTTGTTTCCTTCTCTAGCAAGTATGACAGTAGGAGATTGCTTACCTGAACAGATTTTTGTTCTCCTTCCTGAATTTATTATAATTTCTTTTCTACACTTACATTCTTATCGCACATTCAGTGTAAACATTATTTTTGTGTACATACTTCTACATCAAATTCAACAATAATTTTGTAGTTCGTACTCTATGTAAGGTATTCGATATTTTAAATAAATATCAAATAAAAATTCGGATAAAGATAAAAATATTATCCAAAAGTGAAGATAACAGATTTTTGGAGTAAAAAATGTATCTTTATTCGTCGAAAAAATTCATTTCGAATAAATCCGATTATCTGTCATTCGTCGAATAAGGATAATACCTGTATTGCACTTGTAATGATTTCACAGTTTGTTATTTCCTATTCCGTTGTTTATTTACATAACTTTTTTTATCTAGATAATGCCCACCTCTGGTGGTACGATGTGTGAGAGGAATATTGCAGTTCACACTTTTTTTTTTTAATTACATTTTTTGCTATTATATTGCGTTACTGTGAAATTTAACGATATAATTTTGACCTAAATAATTTATTAACCACAACAGTCTCCTCACATATTTTATAATTTCCTCCTCGACTATTTTTTCATATTATTAAACACAGCGATGTTGTTTTGGGTGGTCAGTTAAATGGAATACTAAATATAAAATAATTTAAAATCATGCTGGAAAATATAATTATTGTGTTTAAAAAAATTTAACGATACAAAATTTTTCTTAATTTTGAAAAAAAAAAAAACGTTATACATATAGAGAAATTCTGTTTCTTACTCATATTCGCTGGTGTAGTATCAGAAAATCGCAATCAGGACAAACTTTTTGAACACAACTAGCTCAAAATTGTAGTGAACGTAAATATAAACGAACTGAAAAATATCGGGGGGTTCTGACTGAGAGTTGTTATGAAAACTAACCTCTTCGACACTTGCGTTGACTTTAACTGAATAACAACCACCAGATACACACGTATAGTCTAGCGTCAATTTTAGTGGACAGGTATTAATGTTTAACCGTTTTTAATTAATTTGTTCATTTATTGAAAGTAAATAGAAATTTTGATATAATTTAATAATAACATTACTAGAAAACAAGTATTGTACCAACATGTGATCCGTGGTTTAACATGACTCTGGTGTTTGTTGTTCTGAGACTTTGGATAATACTTTGTGGCAAATGTTTGTAGTACCAAAGAGGTTATGTATTCAAATTTTAACACTGTCAAGTGGAGCAATGACAAAGTAAGGCAATTAGACATAAAGATAACACCAAAGTTATCAAAAAATAATTATATCTCGAAATGTTTAAATGTTTTAATGTTTCATTAATATCATTTTTTATTTATTCTTTTTCCTATAGAATGTAAAAAGATGCATGCTATTAAAAATTCCATATTTCAAGCGAATCTTATGAGAACTAGTTAGACATAAATCCGCCCTAGATTAAAGTTTGTTTATTCTCAGTGATCATTATACTTTAAGTTCAGTCCCGTTCATAGAATACTGCCGCTCTTGTAAAAGAAACACTCAATTATTGCATTTTTCATTATTCATTGTATGTTCATATACAGTATGTTCAACAACGAATAAAAGAAAATTTATGCGATTTTACATAATAAAATGTGACATTCGTTAATAAAATCAAGAATAACAAAACTGTGTCGAGGGTTTTATTTGTTAATTATAAATACTTGAAAATTCAAACAAAAAGTATCTGAGATTCTACAAATTATTATTGTTAAAAATAATGACACAATTACCAAAAAAAAAGCTGACAGACTGTGCGACATTCAGTGCCGTAACACGTTTCTGTGACATATTGTAAAATACTAGTAAGGTAGATGAATGGCATTATCTATCCATTCACTGCAAAACCGTAACTTGCTCTGTGGAATTTTCGAGTAGAAAAAGTTAATACCTCTTTCGGCACACAAGTCTCCTCAAATAAGAAAATTGGTTATTAAAAACAAAAGAATAAAAAAAAACTATATATACCGCAAGTAGCTACCGAAAATGTCTACAAGCGCTACAATTACCTCGGACCGATATCCTCGACAGACTTACTCATTTTATTACATCAGTTTCGTCCAATCTTTGTAATTCATTTGCAACGATAGATCATACGACATTGAAACAATTAGTCAATAAAGTCGCGATGTACATATGCAGATATTTTTAATAGATACTTGTAATGTATACAGATTTTTTTATTCATGAAGGCTCATCTGCTAATTAAAGCATTAATCTCCTCAAGTGGAAGATTTCACAGATTTTACACGTGTCTTTATAAAGTACCATAGAATCATAAGTATGACGTCCAGTATCACAGAACTTTTACGAGGTTTTCTAGTCTTCATTATTTTTAACAATTGTACATGTATGTGCTAATCTGACCTACGTTAGTATACACATACATAGCCAATGAATTGTCAGACATTAAATGTCTTTTGTGTATAATTCTAAATGTTTATAACCAAAAACTAAAACCCACAAGTTTGTTATTCTTGATTTTAGTCCTATTTTGTCATGTAAAATTATTTTGAAAATTTTCTTTCATCACTTGTGGAAAAACCTGTTGATATATGAAAATCTAGTAAGTAAGACATATAAGTATGTTAATACACTGTTTTTCATGCATATTAAGAATACAATATTATATGGTACTTCTTAGACATTTAAGTTACAGCATTATAGATGTATACCATAAAAAAGTTTAAAAAAAGGCATCCTTACCTCGTCAAAGAAAACTTGCGTTTTCCGCAGTATATGCTTCAGTTCAGTCAGTTCTAAAAAATTACGTTTCAGCGCTTCTGCATTTTGATTAACTTCTCGTAATTCATTTTCCAATTTCTCAAACGTTGCTTCGAGATCTATCATTTCTCTCGGTTGAGGAGCTTCCGGGTTTTCTCCAGTGTCGAGCATAGGAATACCATCTTTTTTAATTTCTTTCTCCAAGTATCGTAATTTACGTTCCATTTCATCGCAACGCCGTACTTCGTTGACAAATTTTCGTTGAAAAGCGTTAACATCAGGATTAAGCTGCACAGAGAAAATCACACAGTCTGAAAATGCGAATTTTAATGAAACTTTATGTGTGTCTAAAACATGATCAGCTATACAAGAAACAATTCAAATATAAAAATTGTTCAATTTCATGATACAACTCTTTTCACATTATTTTTAAAATTTTTAGTCTATGTATAATGTAGTAAAAGGAAAAACAGAGTTGTAAAATGTATATACTTAATACTCCACGAACAAAATGAATTTAAAATTCTAATAAATCTTAAAATTCTGCAATCCACTCCGATACGACATCGATTCAATCGAGATATCTTTTGCTCTTAAAAGCTTTTATGATGTTCTGTGTTATTCGGGGATTTCCCTAATTTCAAATGAAATATTTTTTGCTTTTAAAAGCTCTTATTACGTTCCATATTGTTCGGGTATTTCCCTAATTCTCAAACCGTGTTCTAAGATGCCATGTTGCACGAGGGTTTTTCCCAATTCTCGAACCGTGTTATAGAAGTGCCGTGTTATACTGGGGTTACCTGTATTTTAAATATGGTCCTCTCAATAGAAATAATAATAACTTTTATTAATTTTAATTTCCGAATGTTTCAGATTTTATTATTAAAAAATACTATTTTTAAATATTTCATTCATATAAAAATAAAGGAAAATATGAAAAATTTATGCTGTCTAATCATAGACTCCAGGAAAATGATGATAAAAAATCACTTACGACTTGATAAGGTAAGATGTACTCTAACTTTAAGTAACAATGTTTTAAAAGATTTTTAGTTTTACCAATGACACAAGTTTGTCATACATTGACAAATGGGATTTCCATGAAGTTTGGAATAAAAAATTGCATATTGTCTGAGATGAAGGTTAGTGTTGTTTGATCCTCGCACCTAAACTTTAACACTTAATAATAGTCAAAATATCTTTACACGTATAAAATTGCAATTGCCCGACTAGAATTTCAGTTAGGCAGATATTAGGTCCGCATTAGGCTAGCCTAATTTGCTTGTTAGGCCCGCATGCGGTATGTAACACGGAATATTCACGACCGCCTAATTGGGAAGGCTGCGTTAGGGCCGCATTAGGCTTTCCCAATGAGGCCAACCGCATTAGGCCCATATTAGAATAGCTTTATTAGGCTGTCATTGGGAGACATTAATGAAATCTCATGAGGAATACCTCGTCAAGACATTGTATGGATTAAATTGTAAAAACTTTTATCTTGTTGAAAGCTCTCACGCAAGCGTACGTCCGACACTGAGATGTCTGTAAATATTCCTACATATAAGTTTGAGAGCCCCACTCCACGCTTGGCCATCCCCATTTGGGCCACGTATGGCAACTGTTGGGAATGCCTAACTTAGGCTTGCGCTTGGCCATCCCCATTTGGGCCACGTATGGCAACTCTTAGGAATGCCTAACTTAGGCGTGCACTCGGCCACCCCCATTTGGGCCACGTATGGCAACTGTTGGGAATGCCTAACTTAGGCTTGCGCTTGGCCATCCCCATTTGGGCCACGTATGGCAACTCTTAGGAATGCCTAACTTAGGCGTGCACTCGGCCACCCCCATTTGGGCCACGTATGGCAACTGTTGGGAATGCCCAACTTAGGCATGCATTATTCCTTCCGAATTAGGACCTAATGCGGTAACGATTAGGCTTGCAGCATTTAGGTGTGCCTAATGGTTTCCGTATTAGGCCCACATTCGTCTTTAGGAATGCCTAACTGAAATTCTAGTCGGGTGCATACACCAATGATGAGCAACCTTTTTTTGTAACGGGCCAAAATTGAAAATCCTAATTAATTTAAAAATTGGTAATTCGTAGGGTGGAATTTTTTATATTCACCATAGGTAACGACGAGTACATTCTTATTTTATTTCATTTTCTGAAAATTTACGAGCCACAACTGCCGATACTATTATTTTTATATTATCTATACTGAAACCATACAGTTCTTTCGAAAATTATTTCATACATTTACATATCCTGCTAAACGCAAAAATTATTCACTTTAGCTAACTGAAGTGAGTCAAAAAAATAAATAAATAAATAAAATAAAAATTGCACATCATTTTCACAATGTTTTCCAGGTATTAAGAATAGAACTTTTCATTTTACAATAAAATAGTATTAATAAGTATACTTCGTTCTAAATATTACACTTTATTTAGTACTATACTTCAGTCTACATTTTATAATGTGTAGTAAAATTGTCAAAAATGTGAATAATGCACTCTGGTCTTCTGCAATATTTAGAAGAATTAAAATGATTCATATATGTTACAACACCAATGATCTATAACAGTTTCTAAAAATAAAACTTTCGTTATAAAGATTAAGAATAGATAATTATTATCAGATACAGATTAAGATTAACGTACCACTCAAGTAAACTAAGTGTAATATTAGATTAAAGTGTCAGTACTTCAGTGCAATCATTATTTTTCTTTAATTGAGTATCACTTTGTCACTCAAATTTCAAAGTTGGCTATTATACTGATTTTTCCCTTAGGCACAAAGCATATTACCAATTCCACCATTTAAATGAGCAAGTAAAATAACAATTTCCATATCAAATAATATGCAATCTCTTACTTTAAAACTTTAATAAAGTACCATGGAATCATCGATAAGTCTGAAACCTACATTTTTTAATTCTTAATATGTAAAAGTAAATTGAAAACAGACTTTATATTTACTAATCCATAAATGTTTCACTCCTGTTTACAACTCTTTTCTGTATTAATCCTTTCCATCTGGAATGAATTCTAGGAAGTAAAAAAAATTTTTTTTGCATACAGTTATTTCTCAGGCTTCAGAAAAAGAATAAATTTAATTAACATTAAAAAAAACATCTCAGAGTAAGAAATATTAAATGATTCCAATTGGCATCGTTGGTACTTTGGAGAGAACATGTAAGAAAATAACATACTATTTACAATTTTATATTATTTGTTAGAAATATATCGATTCGTTCAGAATTCGATGATCAATTTACTATTTAAATTCGCTCTGTTCTAAGATTCTGGGGCAAGTGTCGTGCACAGTCATACCAGAAGGCATCTTCGCCTTCTCCACTCCGTCACGAGCTCCTTTAGCAATAATATTCACATCCTTACATTAATCTCACAATTGAAGGGACTTTTTTATTTAACATAGTGCCATTTTGTTAAAAAGTAATTTTCACGTACGATTTTGGTTCAGACGATAGCTACGTTCTTACTAAACAAAATTTTCTTTTGATCATTTGTTTCTGACGCCTACGAAGGACGGAATCATGGCAACCAGTTGGACGTATTCGGAATTTTCATGTGTTCATATGAACATCTCACGCTTATTCTTTCACGATAAAAAAAAATACATAAATATTGCTCAAAGGACGATTAAGTTATTACAAAAAATTTCGTGTACTACACTTACTTTGATTGCCCATAAAAAATTGTGAAAGATGGCAATGAAACTCGCGTGCTAGATCAGAATATCCTGTTAACACGTTCCGTGCCGCGTGGGTCGCATACGCCCCACTCTGGTCTTTCCGTTCAGGCCATCTGATATTTCGGCCTTTTCCTTCCGCTAACTTAAACTATGCAACTACGGCGATAATTTATTAAAACAAAAATTTTTCCTTTGCTCTATAGCATATCTTAAACGTTACCTTTTTCTCGATAACAATGATTTTTGCAATCTTATAAATATTGGAAGACATATAGGGCGAAAAGCAAAACTGTTAGTCTCGACAATGTGGGACGCATACGACCCACGCGGCGTGAACGGAAAGTCACCAAAAATCGATCCGGCACGGAACGTGTTAAGGGGGTATTCTAGTGTGACAGCTCCAAAAAATCAATTTTTTTTTTTTGATATATCGAAGGTACATCACTTTAAAAATATGTGTCTAAAATTTTATAGTCGTATTCGAGAAAATGAGGAAGTTACAGCTCGTTTAGCGTGACGCACCAAAGGCTAGCGATAGGGAGAATGGAGTTTCGCAACAGTAAACCGCGTGGTAATCTGCACATATGTATGTATATGTGGGATTTACTTGGACTTGGAGATCGGAAAAGTGTATTTAAAATAATAATAATAACAGTTTATTAACACGAGTAAAGAAATAAAATAAAAACTAAATATCTTCGTTAACTATAAATCATCCTCTCTTTTTTTGGCAGTAATTATATTTAATAATGGACTTTTGCCCATTCTTAAAGTATTATCAGTAATGGGGGTAACAATTGATGAAGAAGCTGAAATGCATGTGAACTGCCGTAACAAAACTCGCATCAATCGCTCGGAACAACGCGTAAGTGACTTCACTGAAAAAGCCAGAGCTGATCGGAATGAAGAAAGAACAGCTCAACATTTGTTTCAAGAAGAGGAAGGTCCCCTCTATGGTCTTGGACTAGCGAATTAATGATAAATAAAATTATCCCTGTGTAAATTGCACTTAAAACTTCAAACGCGTTTTTCTTAAAACCATGTTTATTGAAATGGTTGCCACGATATCTCAAAAACTACTGTACCAATCGAAGTCAAATTTTGCACATGTCTTCAGCACATGTATGGCTATAGCCGGTAGTAGAATCATGCCAAAATATACTTTTTTCTAATTTTTACAACTTCTTAAAGACGAAAAAAAGTCGAAAAAATCGAAACTTCATATTCAAAGTGCCGGCATTTTTTTAATTTTCAATATTTTTCATTTTTTTTACTATCGGCCATAACTAGAGACATACTAAATAAGAATCAATTGGATTTTTTTATTTCAGATAAGCAGAACGGCTCAAATCATGACAACCATCAATGTACTTTTTTTGTTCATGCCCGAGTTTGACATGTTCCATTGCAGCCAAATTTAATTATTTGTCAACAAAAAAATTTGTAACCATCCTCCAAAGACAAGTAAATACATAGGAATAAAGCTTATGTTAATAGCTGTTACTAAATTTCTATAATAAATTTGCAAAGAAGTCTAAAAAAACGGCTGTCACGCTAGAATACCCCCTTGAAGCAACGCAACGTCGGGTTGCAAACATCGTCAACTTTCTCATGCATTCTTCTAAACAACCAGACCTATGCCACCCGATAGCTAGAGACTCGAAGTCTCGTAGTGGACGTCTGCACATTCTCACTTTCTCTGGCCACACACAGGCTAAGGTCCCTGCCATAAATCGTACGAAAGCAAAATAGCGTCGGGCCAATTGCCTTCGTATTTCAACATTTTGTATGATAGTATCACTTTATAATACGAAATTATTAATTTATATGAATTTGGTTGAATTGTTTGAATTTTAGGCGGAATTCTAACTTATTTTATCTGGAATTCTTTGTAATAATTTTTTGTCACATTTAGACAAAGTACAACATTGCACATGCCACATTTTGTCCTAAAATAGCACTGGATTTGCTATATAAATATTCTGGCCAGTGACTCACAGCATCACAATGAACCTCTTCAACTCTTCAAGGGTTGTGGTATTGGTTGGTCTGAATCCTCGTTGCTCCTTTTTTCCTTTATCAGAAGTCCAGCAGTGATGTCAGACAAAAATTTAAGCAGTGATCGATGCTTTTTTTTTCTGCTGATTGCTACATTTTCTATAGAGGAGCCATTCATTTACACAAGCTATGTTAATCATATGGAATATAATTCTCAAGTAGAAGTGATGGTCCTTTTTGTTGGTTGGACACAATTGAACCAACCATACCATGCAGATCAATTCCTCCCATGAAGGTGTTATAATCCTTCACCATTGCTGGGCAAGCAACTTGTGTGTACATGCTGTTTAGCAGCAACAGACTATCGTTTCACGTTTCCCACAGGTTCCTGTCTTTTATAGAAAGAAATAAGACGGATTTCAATATCTTGATATTTTCAGTCGTTTCAACTTTGTAACGAAATGATAACCAACCATTCTTCTTTAGGGAAGCATCAGGGTACGTCCTGCTAATCTATTTCTCCTCACAGTTCCCACCATGAATATTCCCAGTTGTTTTAATTTTACAACTATCTCCAATGAAGTAAATCAGTTGTTAGGGAAGGCTTGTAGTTTTGATATTTTGGCAAATGCTCAATCAATCTCATTACTACATTGCCACTCATGCCGAATTTGTTAGACTTTGCTAGACTTTTGTCCTTTGCCCACATATATTTCGAAATCGTACACTATTCCGCTTGTTAGGTGTTTCCTGCAGAGGGGTTTATGGCATCGTCTCAAATGGTCCCTCGTTGGAAACAACTATTTGTCGTTTTAAATTAGCCAATAGCCATTTACTACGTTGTCTGTAAACTTACAAGGGAAGTTCGATAACCCGAAAATTCAAAAGAATTTGAAACTCTGCAGAAATGTAGTTCGATTGACAATAATAATACAACCATTTTTGGTTTCGGTAATGAAACGATCCTAGATATGAAAACACTCCCTGAAAAAAATGGTGAGTTTTCATATTATCGTAAATCTTTACAAAACTGTACAAAATATGGAAAAAAAGTTCTCAGAAAAAAAAAATATTTTTTTCGAAAAATTAAGAGTGGTGGGATAAATTTTGAAAAAAATGTTTTTCGAAAATTCCTTACCAATACAATGTAGTGCACCAAAAACCATGCAATTTTGAATTTAACTATTTGTCCATATTTTGTACAATTTTCTAAATATTCACGATAATATGAGAACTCGCAATTTTTTTTTTGGTGTTTTCACCCCTAGGACCGTTTCATTGCCGAAACAAAAAATTGTTTTGTTATTAGTATTAATTGAACTACATTTCTGCAAAGTTTCGAACTTTTTTAAATTTTTAGGTTACCGAACTTCCCTAATTAGAGAAGTTATTCCTCAGAGAATTTACAAATGGTCCAATTTTGAAAATAATTCCTCCATTTGAAAAACCTGTCATGTGACATATGTACATTCTGCAGTAGGTATATTTTCAACAACACCATCATTATCTGCATTGTTAACACAAAACTCTGAATGTAAATTACTTGCTTTTGTGTTTAAAATATATCGTATCAAGTAGTTTACATTCCAAAAGTTTCCACTTCATCTTCTGAATCATTTATATGTTCTGACAATATCCTGAAGTGTTAGAGACTTAGGCATTTTCCATAATACATATATATTTCAATGTATTTATGTATTTCTTACACTCTATACAAATCCTTGAGTAGCCACACACCCTTCATTCGTGCCATGATTTGAAATACTCTGTCCCAAACACTGCAATCACTCCAGGTCAAGAATTCCTCATTCATGCAACTATTGCTCCAGATTAAACAGTTACATTAAATTCTATCACTTCTACATTTCATTCTATAAAAAATCTCTTTAGAGACATTAACTTTCCTGTAAGAGGAACTAATATGACTCCAAGGTTAAAATATATGTTTCTTATAAGGTACTTCAGGTATATGACCCAGTGATGCCAAATGGAATAATTATATTTTGTTACTAAAATTATAGGTTAACAATTATCTTCTCTTAAAATAAGAGAACTACGTATGATTCTTCAATCATTTAAAACATAAAAATAAACTTTGGTATAATTCAAAGTTTATAATACATACCTGTAATTATTTTCCTAAATATGAAGCCTGCAAAACAACTTATAACCCTTGCACACACTCAACAATGAAGAAAAATATTTGTAAACAGTTTCTAAACTTTATATGGGAGATTGTTTGCAAATAAAAGCAAAGTACGGAACTATACAATATGATGCCACGTGGAATTTTCAGGCTAATGGTATAAGTTATAAATGTTAAGTAAGTTAATCATTCCAAATGGCATCACACGAGTGGAAAGGATTAATAGAAATTTTCATTAAAAAAGAAAACTAATTCAGCATAAATTTTTAAATCTGTTTTAAAACAATTTTTTATAAAA